TGCAGGATTTGGTTTCTCTCAGTGTTTTTACCTGAAATCTGATATATTTTTATTGGATCACTCAGAAAACAGTCAGCCAATCAGAAGAGAGGAGATGTAAACTACACTGAGATGGTTTTTGGTTCTTAAAACCACAAATATATCTTCTTACTGATCAACACTTCAAATAAAACACAGACATTGTTTGCAGACATGCAGTGCCTGTTCAAACTGTATCAGTAGGCTGCATTAGCAACTTTGCTGTTTATGCTTTAATTAATGACCAGTGAGAGCACATGGGTCACCCACCACTGCTTCTCACAGTGAAGCCCCAGATAAATGTTCTCTATTAAATTAATTTCATCATTTCACGTTATTAGAGAGTGAGTTTATAGCGTGCACATGCATACAATGGCAAGACATTAAGTTGGGACACTCATTTAGTTCCTATCTGCCCTCAAGCTATATGTAAAGCAGTTTTGCTGAATATTCAATAATTTATCTATGCAGACGGCAAGAGTCAAATTTGAAAACATAGGGAGTGAGTGCTGCTGAGTCCCAACACTGCAAAGGGAGAAACCCTTTTTGTATTCAGATTTTAAATGAGAAGCATGTTCTCAATAAGTTAAAATCATCTAATTTCCAGTGGTTTCGAGAACTGAATTTGTCTTATTTATGCTTAAGAACATTTTAATTGTATCAGTGGGGGACCAGAGATCATTTTTGCCCCGTGGCCCCCAGATGATTTTATACAGCTCTGCTCAGAAACGATGCATGTGGTGGTATCAGTTTCAGGTAAGTGTAAACAGTTTATAACCCTCATATTCTGTAAATGCTATGTTGATTTGATGAAAATATCCCTTTACAAGCCTGTTTTCTCGGTGGAAGGAAAAAGCTACGATAGCATATGACAGTGCAGCACTTTGGCCCTGTGTACGGTTCAAATGGCACCTTTTAAAATCCTCTAAGTGCAGTTTTATCACTAAGTGTGGGGTTGCCATACATAAATGCCACATTCACAGGTTGTCATGTGCATCAAACAGAATCTTCAAGTGGATATTTAGAAGAAAAAAAAACAGAGTGATGGGCTGCTCTGAAGCATCGCTCTTCATATTTCTGCATGCCAAAGATGAAACCCTCTTTCCTTTCGAGTGGAGGTCAAAGAGAGGGAGGGGCCAGAGGGAAATAACTTTGCCATGGATGAGATATTTACACACATCTCTTATTTTTCACCCCGCACAACCCCTTTTCTTGTTTTTGCTCCATCCCACTAGCATCCTTGAAGTCTCCCCCACCTCAAAGCAAACAAGAAATGAAGGGAACCAGAGGCCTGTCCTGAGGTAGAGCGAAGCCATGTATCTTTCACTGTAATTGCCGAGCTGTGTGACGCGAACTCAGGGTATCTGAAGACAGAGTAGGACTCCTCCTGCATGACTACAAGGACTAAAAGCTACTGAATCATGTAATGTAACAACAGCTTTGGGCCAACGACCAGTGTTAAAGTGCACGGTCCTCTGAGGCAGGTGAGACGACTGTGAGGGGTCCTTAAAGATGGAGTAAGTGATTCTGGAGAACTGTATTGATATATAACACAACAGCAAAACAAACACACCCCTCCCTTCAGAAGCTCCGCCCCCAAATTCATGGACGCATTGCCAAGGCGACGACACGATGTTGGTATCAAGAGCGTCTTATGGATACTTAAACTGTATAATACAAAATGTTATCAAACAACGGACATGCACACACACAAACACAACAGAATAAAAACTAGCAACAGTTGGTTTTTTAGATTGTTTTTCCAGGTTAGCACCTAGGCTAACAAGGAAGGTAACGTTACCTGGCATAGCATTTCAAATTATGCATCCAACCAAACAATCTCCTGTGCTGGCAAACGTGTGTTTTTTTTACTTAAAAACCCTTCAGGCGTGATATAGAACAAACAGCAAGACAGATAACTGTTGCTATAGTTGCTGCCGCTAAGCTAACATGCAGACAGGATGAGACCAGCTGAAGACAGCAACACTCACAACTCTCCTGCTACTGTAGCTAACATCACACCAACATACACATCTTGGCAAACTACAAAGTAAGACGAACGTCCACAAGGAAGTAATGTTATATAACTGGATGCACAAATGCGACACCGGCTAACTAACCAGATGTGTAATTGATTAGAATCACTTTAACTTCACTCTGCCTTTAAAGGTTCAATTCAGTCCATTTCATTCAATTTCACCCAGAGAAAGAAGAACGACTACTATTAATTAGAAAATAGAGAAATGTTTTACCTATTAAACTATAATAAAAGGTCCATATTTAAGAAAAACTACAACAAAAGTCAGTACAGCCTTCAGTAGTGAGATTCAATTCTTGTTTTTTGTCAGATTTTTGCATCTGATTTTCAAAGTGTGTTTGTCATCATCGCCATGTTGGAAACTTCCTCCTGTGGCCAAAACTTCTTCAGACTTCTTGGGAGTCATTTTTTCATTTCATATTTTGGTGCAAACTCACGTTCATAGTTCTTTATCAGCAAACTCCCACCTCCTGCTTCATGGTCGGCACTGGGCAGTCACTGTGGAGGTTCTGGCCAGGTCCACACCGAACATGCTGGGCCCCATCTGATCCAAACGAGTTTATTTTGGTTTCATCTGACCAAAGAATGAGTTGCCAACATTCATCCGGCTTCTTCTTCATGTTCTTTGGCAAAGTTTATTCTTGCAGTTTGGTGCCAGTCTGTTTTCTTCTTGGACACCATTGTTGACTTCCTGCAGTGTCCTTCACGCTGAAACACCAGTTTCCACAAATAATCCTTGTGTCAAATAAGCATCTACAATGACCTCTACTGCACCTTCTGTTATTGGTGGTATGTTCCAGACTCCACTGATGACCCAGGTCAGAACTGAGGTTCATGCAATCAGTCTTAATTGGAAATGATTTGTGGTGGTACTGTGGGGCCCATATTTCAACTGTAATCTGTTGTAATCTGTTGTTTTTAATTATATATAACATCAAATATCTCAAACTTCAACTTAGTTTCTTCGTCTGCCTGCCAGTTAGTGCTGAGGTTTATTTGAGGTTGTTCACTGAGAGTAAACCATAACAGCTGAGCTGGAAGCTAAAAGTGAAAATCACCTCCTCGTGGCTGTTTCCTCCAGCAATCAGTCAAGTTGCAGGAAACATGGACACAGTCTCTCCTTCCTGAGTTACAGTGTTGAATAATGACCAGAAGTGTTTTTGCAGAACATTATGATGTCACAGTGAAGTTGACCTTTGACCTTTTGCATATAACATGTTATCCCTTAATTTTATCCCTTGAGACATTTGAGTTAAACTGCGTCATAATTAGAGAATGAATTTGTGAGTTATCGCCAAAAACGCATTTTGCGAGATCACAGTGACCTTGACCTTTGACCTTTGACCACCAAAGTCTAATCAGTTCATCCTTGAGTCAAAGTGAATGTTTGCGCCCAAATTTGAAGAAGTTCCTCCAAAGCATTACTGAGATATCGCGTTCATGACAACGACCCGAAAACAATATGGTCACAATAAAAGTATTGATCGGTACAAGTTTAACGTATGTGGGGAAATGTCTCCTAGAAGTTTTTCCTTTTGCGTTTAAGAAGTCCTCCACAAAATAAACACTATCATTATGTTGTGATAATTCCATCAGTGCAAAATAAGTTTGATTTCTTTATTCTTTTCTCATTAGAAATGCTTCCAGTATATGTTTAGAATGGCTCTAATTAGATTTACTTTTCATCTCTATTGTTTCTGCTTTGCACAGTGTAAAACTAAATCCTCACTGGGAAGAAATTTCAACTAATGTGCGTTCAAGACCGCTACAATACTGAGGGTCTGTGATGCGACTAAACAGCTGTGTATTTTTCAGTGTGAAAAAACTCGTCTTCTAATCGTTTTAGTTCTTGTTCCAGTCCCTTCCTCCTCGTGAACCTCCTCTGTCACCGTGCACTGTTGAACCTTTCTGTGTCTCTCTGCATGCAGGACCTGGAGTGAGGCATGTTGCTCATCTCTTAAGCCCATTTAACAGCTCGTTACCCATTCGTCTCTTTTCTCCCCTCTCTTCCTCTGTTCCAGGCTCTCATCACTTCTTGGTCAGGTTCCATTTTTGCTAATGCAGTGGAAATGAGCCGTGGGCAATGCAAAGTGAAGTGGAGCAGATTCATGGCGGCGTTTTTTTTTTTTGCCACTACACGCCATGAAAACACAAACAGGGGCCGGGCGTAACAAGGCCCAACACACACAGTAGCGATGAAGACACGGGAGCGCCCAATGACACAGAAAGCTCATGTAATTCAATTGGACAGCAGTCAAAACACGAGGGCTGAGGTGCTGCGCTGAACATATAATGCTTAATTAAACCAGATTAGAGGTGAGCCACAGAGATCAAGCTGCTGTGAAAGACGCTGAAAAGGACTGAAAATGAAAAATAAACTGCAAGACTCCACTTCAAACCTTCATTGTTAAATATGGCTCCCATGCTAACTTTGCTCTTCCCAACTCAGTGGTAGAGATTCAACAATTCATGTAGGCTATGTTGAGCTAGCAGCATTAGCATTTGTAAATAAAACATTTCAAACATTCAAACACAGAAATTTGAGCCCTGAGTTAGACACTTGTTTCCAACTGTATAGGGATTAGTGACTGTTAATAAAGATGGACGTCGCCTCTGTGACATCACCCACAGGTTTCTGAAGCTCAGAGCGAGCTGCTAAGCCGTCGCCATCTTGGCAGTGTCTGACTCCGCCCCTAACTCCCATACATGTTTATATCTGCTGTAAAGTTGTAAAAACAATTTAACATGGGAGTCTATGGGGATTGACTCACTGTTGGAGCCAGAGTCTAGTGGTCATTGGAGGAACTGCAGGTTTTGTCACTTCAGTGTCGGCTTAATGTTTCAGCGTCAGAGGTTGGTGCCTGGATAAGTGATGGGCGGATCGAAAATTATGTTTTAATAAAACTTTAATATATAAAAACATTTTAAAAACAGAATCCCAGGAACATATCATTGAATTCAATGTTGTGAACACGAACTGCCACGTCAAAGATCATAGATCAGAAACAATCAATAACTGACCGTTTCTCAGTTTAGACGGTGGAGTCCAGCGTCTGCTCAGGATCGCAGGCGTTCATCAGGAGGAAGAGGCGTTTGGAAAGTTCTGGACCGACCCGGCGAGTGGTGGAGGTCACGCCCTCTCCTCTGCGGATCAGGAGGTCAGACAGCAGCGAGGTCTTCTCATGGTCGGACTTGCACAGACTGTACGCCTGCAGACAGAGGAAAAAAGAAAATAACTTTTCTAATTAATTTGCAGATGTGTCTCTGTTGTTTTGATCTTTAAAGCTCCATGAAGGAGTCATTTGTCTTGTGCTGCACTTAACACCCTGATCTCATACCAGATACCAGGTGATAAATATGTGTTAACTATAGGGATGTATTTATAAGTTTAAGTATTAAGGCCACATAGAGGAAAAAAAATCTGAAATTTAGAGAATACAGTTGTAATTTTAACATCAAACATCAGAAGCTTTGAAATGAATAACGTGGAGCATCCTGTGACGTTCTACTTTAGCAGAGGTTTCACTAATAAGGAGATTCTTCATCTTATGGCTCATCATCATCATCATCATCAGGACATTGAAAAGACTGTGAAGAAACTGAATCTATTTTACACATTTTACAATATTCTCCTAATATTACGATTTTATTCTTGAAATATTTTGACTTTATTCTCATAATTTCATATTTCTTTTTTCCCCTGAATTTGGCCCCAACACCGTGTCGTGCTTCTGAATGCAGAGATGATTAATTAAAAAAAATCATACAATCAACAGAAAAAGCAAGGAATGTAAAAAGGGAAGAAAAGTCCCGACCACCATCTTGACGAGGAGCGTTTGTTACGTATCGTTAACGACGGAGGGGGAGTCAGGTATGGTTAACGTGTCAGAGGTGACGTTACCTTCCTGAGCAGCTGAGGGGACGGGTACGCTGCCAGGATGGCCGACGCCATGTCTGGACTGACTCTGTTGAACTGCTGGATCTGTCTCTTCCACACCTGCAGCAGACCCTTACCGGCTTTATCCACCCGCTGCCCCCCCGCCCACTCACTCTCCAGGTAGAAGGAGAAGCCCGTCTGCTCCCTCTCCCGCCTGAACACACACACACACACACACACACACACACACACACACACACACACACACACACACACACATTATTGTTTGATCTGAGTGACAGTGTTTTGTAAAGAGGGAAGAACTGAGCTCACTCACTTGAAAGGCGCCTCTGCAACCGCTTTGGTTGTCATGGTGATGTGATCCGAAAAGTCCTTCCAGGTCGTCAAGAAGCGGACCGAGACCCCCGTGTGTAGCTGGAGATGCACCACTGCCTGATGGGTAATAGGACAAGACAAATGTGAATCAATATAAAACAATAAAATATCCTTAATTCATCCTTTTACTCTGAAAACACACGCCGTACTTTTTAAAAGCCCTTAATTAACAAATTAAGAGCTCATTTCACACATTAATTTGAAATGTTTGACTAATCCATTTGTTATCAGTTTAAGGTGTGTTCTGGTGGCTGTGTTATTCTTGTTAGAAATAAAATTACAGGTATCTCTTATTTTGTACCATCTTCAATTAAACTGCAAATTGACCTGGGGCTTAATTATTCCAAATTATGGATAAAATAATAGATTATAATACATTAGTTGTTCTTCACTGTTTAAGGGTTTTTTTAATGGGAGCAAATACTCTTTAAAATTTAGCAAACAGCCTGAATTTTCTCTTTATTTTAAAAACTAAGATCCTTTGAAGTTATAAATTAAATTAATGTAACTAAATGAATTATAATATATTAAGGAGTTTTAATGGATACATCACTAGTCGTGGGTAAATTACTGGAATTTAAGATTGAAAAATGAAGGTATTCTATATCACAGAGAAAACTTCTCTCATTTTCTTTTTCTTCCGCTAATTATGAAAGTTCTTCATCCACCGACCACCCCACCTCTTCTACTTCAACTCGTGACACTTCAGGCAGCGCCTCGGCTCCACCATTCTTCCTCCTCTTCCTCGCTTTTCCTCCTCCCCGCTCCTCATTGGCGACGGCCTCTCGAAACCTCTTCTGGCTTTGTGACTTCTGCGATCTGAGGAAAAGAAGTTTATTATCTCTTAGTCGTTAACTCTCAGGACCTCTGGTCTTCGCTCCATCTCTCTTCTTCACACATTTTCTTCAGTCGGTTTCCAGCTGAGTTCTGCCAGACTCTGCTGACAGTGATGTGTGATGTGTTTAGGTCGGCTTAGTGCCATTCTGTGTTGTTTTTCATTGAGTGCTATTACTTCACACTGTTGTACTTATTCAGACTGTGAGACACTTCTCCATCCAATCAGTCAGTCCACCTTCAGGGCAGCGTTTCCCATCTTCACAGGAATTCAAACCAGCTGACTGCAGGTTATCGCTGCCCCCAGTGTCTGACTGGTCTAATCTCAGACCCCCCCCCTCCACCTGAAGTATTTCTCCATGTCGATGACCACCAGGCTGAGGACCTTCCCAGGGTGAAGCCTCTGCTGCTGCTGCATCCAGGACGTCAGCGTGGGACCAGAGTCTGACCTGTCGTGCCTCTCTTCCTGAGGGAGATTACAGTCATAGGTATTAATATATAAACCTGCTGTCAACAAAACACATTTCAAGATTACATTTCAGCCTGGACTGTCTTCTATTGCCAAAAAATACATAAAGGCTTTAATCTTCCTCTGATTTTTATCATATATTGTAATTTTGTACATGTGATTTGTACAAATGGGAGACAAATTAAAAGATGAGCAGTCAACATCCTGTCGTGCTCTGTGACATGTATAAAATGCAGGATGGGAGAATTAAATCTTTATATACATCTTAAATCTTAAAGCTCCTCCAGTGTAAAGGTCTGTGTCCATGTGTAGTGTGATTATAGATCAGGTCTAGCTTCTATATTAATACTGTGAAAGTATCAAAGCCTCAGTCCACAGAGAAATGCACACAGCCTGTATTCAGAAACTGAGCCTTAAAACCAGCCGTCAGGACTTCTGGAACTTTGTGATGTCACAACAAAGCAGTCACCAAGCCCCGCCCCCCTGAACCCCCCATCCAAACCTTGCAGGATTTGGTTTCTCTGAGTGTTTTTACCTGAAATCTGCTATATTTTTACTGGATCACTCAGAAAACAGTCAGCCAATCAGAAGAGAGGCTCAGAGCCTCCTCTCTTCTGATTGGCTCACCGACCTGTTGTTACTAGAGCTCCAGAGAGAAGCCTGAGAGAGGAGATGTAAAACTACACTGAGATGGTTTTTGGTTTTTAAAACCACAAATATATCTTCTTATGGATCAACACTTCAAATAAAACACAGAAGAAGAAGAAAATATGGAGCTTTAAATCTTTATATCTAACACAATGTCAAAAGGCTCAGTATCAGGCTTCATCAGTCCTTATTAAACTGATCAATTTCTAAACTGAGTCTGTTTCGTGCAGAATGATCTTTGTGTTTCCTGCTGTGGTAGAACGACAGTAACTGTAACTCTGACGGATCCTCGATGATGTGACGGATACATCACTTCTAAATAATTCCCTAGAACATTTCCTGTTTATACACACTCCAGTTAATGGGGAACACTTGTACAGTCTAATGTAATCCAACTGTAATAACACTTAATAGCATGTTCTAATTGAACACTTTCTCTATTTTACCTATAATTATAATTACAACCAAATTACATCGGTTTTTTTTGTTTTTTTTAAGAGCACTTGGAAATAATTAGAAAATGACGTGTGTGACAGACCACCACCACCACATGTGTTACATTCAATATTCCTCCATCTGCTCTGTTCTCATCTCCACTCTATTGTTATTACAAAATAAAATAAAGTATATATCTTTATCTACATCTACACATTTCCTCACTGGGATCATTGAAGTGTGATTATAAAGCAGCAGGTCAGTCACTCTGCTGATGTTGTAGTGACAGTGTGACCACGAGCAGCAGCAGCAGCTGTGGCTCCACCCACCTGAATGTAGCTGTGGATCAAAGTGATGAAGTCATCGACCGTCATCTGCATCACAACATGAGCCTCTGGTACAGACACGCCATCATCTGACTGAGACACAGGGAACAGGAGAGAGAGCCACACTCACTTTATGATTATCAAGAAAAGTGATATTTTATCTATTATTTATTTATTATTGAATTAATGATCATTATAAAACAACTTCTTTTTCTCAACCTCTTTTTCATTAATTACAGACAGATATTACAACAAATGTGACATTACTGGATGTTATATTTCACGTAAGTAAGTAAGTAAGTAAAAGTTTATTTATTTAGCACCTTTCACACATAAAAATAAATAATAAAAAAGTATTCAGACACACTGACCACAAGCCTGTCTCAATGAATCAAAATTATGGCAGGTTCGAGGGATGGCCAGGGAAAAGGGAAGAGCCCCATTTGTTGTATGAGGGAGGAGACGGTCAGCAGTGTGTTGGGGTGTTTGGCCATGTGAGGCTCTAAAGGTGAGCCAAAATAATCGTGATTATGATTTTTGCCATAATCGAGCAGCCCTGTCACAAACCTGCTCCTCTAACTGCTCGTGTTGAGGCATTTCATCCTTCTACATTTATCACTACAGCTCTTTCAGAGTCGTTCAAGTGTCACAAGCTCTCAGTAAATTAACACACACAACAAGGCGAACATGAATAACCATAACTATAACAATTCGAGACTCGTTTTCAGCTGCTAGTGTGTGAATATGGGTCCAGCGTCACACACTCAAGGACCAGCACAAGTGTTTGTGTGTGTGTGTGTGTGTGTGTGTGTGTGTGTGTGTGTGTTATCACCTGTGCACAGGGAGCCCTCCTCATCCAGCTGACACTGCGTGGAAGTGGTTGTTTCTCTATTGCACAGCTGCAGCCCAGAGCCTGCACCGACGCCAGCAGAGTCCCGCCTCCTTCCAGCTGTAAGAGAGCTGCAAACACAAACACAGTTACCACAATAATGTCCAGGATAAACCCATTTCATAGCTTAAATGATGCCTTCAAAGCATGAAGATAATACACACACTTGCTTTATTTGAAGTCTAAAATTATCTCCAATAAATCTAGAGACTCGCATGTTGTTATCCACTTGTGCACGTTGCCAAGTGTTATTAAATATTTTCCTTTACCTGGGTCTACAGCCACCACCATGTGTTTGATACACTCCTCTGGCCTCAGGGCCTTGGCAGCCTCTGCCAGAGCTTTCCTCTCTGCTTTCTGTCTCTCTTGTTCCAGCCTGAGCACCTCCTTGTCCCTCTGCTGTCGCTCCCTGGCCTGTCTTCTCCTCAGAGCCTCTTCCCTGGAGGCCTGGATCTCCTCCACCGTCCGCTTGGCAGGTTTCCTCTTGGCAGGGAAAGTGTCACTGCTCTCTACACTGGAGAAAGGCTGTGGAGGCAGCCATCGCTGAGGGAGAGCCGCCCCCTCCTCTGGGCCAACTGAGGCCCCATGGCTCACTGTCCTCATCCGATGGAAGCTGAGCGGGGGCTCTGACTCTGGAATCCCATTCTGGCAGGAGGGCTGTAAACCGGCCAGATTGGATGGCGAATGCTGCGCAGCATCTTTCCCATTAGTGATGGCGGAGGAGGCGCTAATCACATTGTCTCGTCTCTGTTTGAGTCTCTGCGCCAGAGGGACATACGGTGCACCGTCATCAGAATCGCTGCTGATCATCATTACATCAGTCCTTCCCGTACATGTGCCTGCAGTACCCTTCACCGAGGAGGAGACGGCTGCGTCTTCTGCATCAGAATCATCCAGGTCGACCAAGTCTGGTTTCTCTGCGAGTCGCTTTGAGGTTTGGCTCAGGAAGTCAAACACAGGCAACTCCTCGTCTAGGTCGCTGGTGGAGTCACTGTAGCTGCCCATGTTCATGTGAAGCCAAGGTTACTGTATATGAGACATGAGACAAGAATTATCACAGGATCATCAACTTGCAAGAATCAAAACTGCCTTTTTCTTTTGGCGGCAAAAAACACACCAGGCATCAGCCAGAAATCTGCCAATCTGACATTTATTAGTGTGTCAGCCAGTATACACATTACCTAACATATCATAACCTGCAGCAATAACATAGTACAGGTGTTATGGTAAATTCGGCGTGGAGATAATCCACCAAGCAGCAGGTTATTCAGAGAAATTGTGGTTGGTATAATTAGTGCACGCTTAGCTCTGCCGAACTCTACTGAAGCTTACTGATAATAAATAATCAACTTTTTTTAATTGAGTCTGTTACAGCATTAACGTTCCCTTAAAAACAAATGGGTGAAACACACACAGTACGAAGCTGCAGACCGAGCTCCATCTACCCGACGACAGAGAAACCAAACTATTAACTAACACTGAACAGGAACCGTCACATACAAAGATACACAGCAGACGTTAGATTAGCTGGAAATAGTTTCACTCACTTTGAAATCTTGCGTACAGACGTTCAGGTAAGAAGGAGGTTAGCTTAAGTAAGTATTAGCTACTAGCATTAGCATGTAGTTGTAGTTGGTATTTATTTATTTCGACGGACGAACACCGCGGGGAGTTTTAGCCAACCTGTTGCTGTGTTACATGAAGGCACATTTGATTTTACCCGGGTTGCAAAGTTGTGTTGCATTCACGTAAATGGGACACCGGATTCACGCAAATTCATTTCCCACCTATGTCGTGTAAATTCAAAATAGTCACATCAGACAATCTTTGCCTCTTTTTATGGGACAGGGGTGAAAATTAGTCATTGTCAAAATCTGTTGTGTTGTGGTTTCAGAATGATGGAGACAGAGAACAATTAGATTCAAAATATGATGCAGGTTTAGCATGATTTTTTTCCTGGGCAACTTTCATGTTTTTCCCAAATGATGTTCAAATGGCTTGATACAGTAAACAGCATGTAGCTGCTGTGAATGGGGGGAAAAAATCGCCGAATGTTTACAATGTCTGGCTCCGCCCCTGATTAAGATTACCTAGATGTAACTTCTGAAGATATTCACACCGTATTTTCAGTAAAGTGGTTCGGTCTACCATCTTTCTTGGGGAATTTGAACGCAGCAAATACAACCGGATGTGTCGCGCGGAGTTTGACGTCAGTACTATCGTTCAAGATGGCGGCGCTGGTGTCCTTGATGCTGAAGCCTCGAGCAGGTATGAAGTGTTCATCTTAGTACTTTACACGCTGTTGATGAATTTACAAATTGTGCGAAATAGTTTTATTGCTTCTCACCATATTTGACGTCATTGCGTAAATAACGTCTCAGGCATTTTGTGTTTACGCGACGTTAAAATGCGTGTTAACGTGTCGAGTTTCTGTCTTAACACGCCAAAATAAGGCGAACAGTTCGTGGATCTCACAACAAAAAGTATTAAGCTGAGCTACGGCATCACCCTAAAGCCTGCAGCCTCCAGCATTTTATCCTATTCAATTTCAATATCAAGATCGGTCCTTTCCAAATCTGAGTGCTTGTAATATCACGACCAGCCATTAGGTGTCACTGTGCACATTCAAGCATAGAGATGGTTGACCAGCAAATATGAGCATGACTAATGCTGTATGTCTGATATTAAACACGGAGTTTCACATTGGACTGCATGTGCATCACAATATTTCTCCAGAGGAAAAGAACATCTGATCTTTTTATGGTTTCTACCATCCCCTATTTCTGGGACTCATTTTACAGATTAAGTAAATTATGACAGACAGGGTTCTGCTCTAGTCAACAGTGTTATGGAGGGATTTCGTCTGAATTACTCTTCAGTTCAATCTAGGGCTGAATGATATGGAAAAAATATATATGTTTATTTTACATTGTGGCAGATATTGTGATATGAGTCACGATTTCAGTTGGAAATTCTTTGAATTTCATTTTCACTGAAATAAAATGAATAAAAATGATGATGATGTGATTGTGTTGTTGGGGCTTGAACCAAACAATCATGTTCCTTTACGCCTGGAGAATATGATTTAGAAGCTGGAGCATCTCTCTATCAGCACAACACTATGGTCTGTTGTGACACATTCACCTTTATCAAGAAAACTGCGGCTCCTCTGATTTGGATATTGCACTTGACCACACTGAGATTCCGATAATTGCTGTCAAATACACACCGCTGCTAATTAATCCTGTTTGTTGTTGCAGGGGAAAAACATTATGAACATTTTTATTATCCCATTTTAATGGAGTTTGGTGTGATGTCATTGTTTACAGTATGTTTGAGTCAACTGGATGTTTCTGTGATTTCACATGAACTTCTTCGTGCTGCTGGGTTCAGGTCTGCTGGCGCCCGGTCAGTCCTTTCTGCTGGACTCTGTGAGGTTTGCGTCGAAGAAGTCCGGTGGCAGCTGCAAGAACGTTGGGAAAAAAGACCCCGGTCGGAGATACGGCTTCAAGAAACAGGATGGTAATTCCTACTTTGTTCAAAGTGACAGCGTCTCAGTGCCCTGTTATTTGTCTTCTCTTTGAGGCGTTGGTGTAGGCATAGTGTTTCTCTCCGCCCTCTAACTTTGGTTATGGATAATGTCACAATATTAATAGAAGAGCTGATGCACATGCATATAAAACAGGGTCACAGGAGACACATCTCTGTAATGAGAAATTCATGGTTTGGAACAGTAAAACCACCTTATTCCCAGCGAGAGAAGTTCATCATATTATTTCAACTCAGCAGAAGTTTTTCAGATTAACTTCCTCGTCAACTCAGTTATTAGAAATGGAATAAAACTTTCATTAAATGCAGCTGGGAGCTGTAGAAGCTGAATGATTCTGATGAATTCATGCACTCTGATCATTTGCATCCTGGTGGCACTCTATGTAATGTCAACTAGACTTGTGGCAATAATATTAATTGATTCATTTAGTCATTTATATATTGATTTTCCATTCCATGCTGAACGGAATGGAAATCAGTGAAAATATAAAAGAATAATTCATGTAAAGTTTAATTAATTTCTGCTTAAAGTGTGTGAAACAGTGTTAACAACCTCCAGGGCTGATTCATGAACCAACAACATGACCAGGGGCGGAGTCAGACACTGCCAAGATGGTGACGGTGAAGCAGCTCACTTTGAGCTTCAAAACTGCTCTTCAGAAACCTATGGGTGACGTTACAGAGGCGACGTCCATCTTTATTTACAGTCTGTGATGTTGATCTCATCGTCTCTTCCCATCTGTTCTCCAGGGAACTTCGTCCATGCCGGGAACATCCTTGCGACGCAGAGGGTGATGAGGTATCACCCAGGAGCTCATGTGAGTAGACACACCCTGCATCAACAGTGTGAACCTGATTCAGACCGAAGGGTACACCTTCACGTCTCGCACCTCCTCTCCTCCAGGTGGGGCTGGGAACCAACAGGAATCTCTTTGCTCTGGAGGACGGCTATGTCAGGTTCACCAAGGAGGTCTTCATCCCACCGCCACGCAGCCGGAAGTCGTCACGGATCATCCCCAGACTGCCGCAAGGAGCCGTGCTCTACAAGACTTTCATCAACATCGTGCCGCTCAAACAGGAGGGCAAGTTCAAACTGATGGACATGGTTTGAGACGGACTGGACTGAACTGGAACCTCATCCTTTTTTTTGTTGTTGTTGTTGTATTCCTGTGGCGGTCAGGATCAAACATCACAAGCACCCTGGAGGACTTCAGCAGCTCGGGCTTCTGTCTTTGACTGAGGTGATTTGACCTTTAGACGGAGCCGGTCCGTGAGGTCAGCTGTCATACAGAATGACTCGGTCCTCGGCTGCTCATGAGACACTGTCACACTTTGCATTTACAGTTGATTTGGTCGAAACTTCACTGAATAAAATACACACAGGAAAAACATTTCCAGCGTCACTTTTACAGATTGTCAGTCTCTGGCATCACTATTACAGTATTTTTTTTCTCCCATAGTTACTAACTATACAAAAAACAAGACATCACCAGATCGCTTTAAATCATGTGCTCCACCGGATTTTACCCCAATTTGTATCAGGTTCGGGTCCAAATTGGACACGTCACAGTCACGAAAACTTGATGTTGTGAAGTTTTAGAAAGAGCAGATCTGTTTTCTGCTCTTTGACAATGTGTTTTCTTTTTTTCAGATAATCCAACTGGTTTGTAAATGTTTTTTTTGGTTTAAGAAGTATGAGAAAATCTCATCCAGTAAACAAACTCCTCATAAATTAAATCTTTAATCCTTAAAAATGTATTATAAATTAAATCCCAGTATAGCTGAAAAATTCCAAATCACTAAATTTGGAGATACATGGTTATTTTTGGACATTAACGTATTGTTTATATCATTTTCTTGATCATTTGGATTTACAGGAAAAAAAGTGGTTTTCTTCTTCTTCTTCATTTGCTGCCTTTATTAGTGACATTTGACCGAAAATAAGGGGAAAGAGATGCAACAAAGGCCCCAGTCATTCTAAAAAAAAAAAAAAGTATTTTGTCTTCACAAAAAGAAAAGTATTTTCATGTCTGCTGTTTTAAAAAAAAAAGTGCAGTAGCCCAATCTGGACACAAGATGGCACCCCTTACATCAGGTAAGTATGAGTTTGTCCTAATGTTCATCAGTTGGGGTCCAAATTACACAATCCAATACTTTATAGATTGGATATATATATTATTATTATAAATATATATATTTGAATACATTTCACAACTTTTTAATTTCTTTGGAGATGAGCACCACCTCAGTCCTGTTTATGCAGATTTTTATTTTTGATTGTGATAATATAATTTATCACAAAGTGTGTGTTTTTTAACTTTAACTGTAATTGTTAATCATTTAGTCACAAGTGTTGAATGTCACAATGCTTTACAGGAAAAATAAAACACTTTATCTGTACTGTTGAAAAAGTGCAATAACAAGACACACCACAAGATGTTGCACAATCACTGCTACATTATGTGCTCCTCAGCTTGATTAGTGTCCAAACTGCATTAAATTGCAGGTTTATTTCTTCATAAATTGGTTTTACAGATAAAAGTACATTTGGAAAATAAGTTTATGATTGTTAAAAGTTAATCTTAGAAGATTACAGGTCTTCCTCCACTCAGGCTGTGGTATCATCCCTCTATAATATTTGTAGTGAATGGTACAAGCTTATTGGTGAGATATTCTGTCAGCATTACTTTGAAAAAGCCATCAGCAAAGATACAGAGATAAATGGGAGAAGATGTATTTCAGAGGTATGCAGAGGGAGTGTGGGTAACGCCTGGTACACTGTTTGGGAGTTGGAACGCCGTCATGAAGCAGAAGTAAAGATGGATGTGAGGAGTTTGCAGAACACAGCATTATAATTTATAATTCAAAGATGTTGGAGGGTGAATTGCTGTTCGCACTCCACTGCCAGATTGGATAACGTACCGGGGATAAACTCAGGAATTTCCATAAACCACGAGTGTAAGCGTTTGGAAGTGTCCATGTCTTTCCTTTTTATGAAGAACAAATGAGCCGTGAAGTTATTGAATAGCCGCTGGCTGTTGTGAGAGATCTGCATTCTTGCCTCTCAGTCCAGGCCAGTATCAGTGCAGGTCATCCTTGATGGATGCACAAACAGCAAAGTACAATTTTCACAGTTCACAGTACTTTGTGTTGGGTTTGTGTTTTCTGTGGCTAGTGTTTGATCTGGGTTAAACAGTAACCGTGAACTGTTGAACTTTCCCTCTCAAACTCAAAGTAACAGTAATTGGTAAAGTATAAGGGCGGGGCGGTTACACTTTAAGCAAAACCTGATTTTGCCAAACAGGGGCGCCGTAAAGGGGGGAAAAGTTAGGACGATTCTAAGGGCCCATGACTGACAGGGGGCCTCCCAAAAAAATAAAAAATATATATTTTCTTTATTTACCTTTGGGTAGGGGGCCCAATGTGATATTTTTTCATGGGGCCCAAAATCCCTGGCGGCGCCCCTGTTGCCAAATACGTCTCTCAGACGGATTACTTTAAGATTTTTAATTAATCCAGTACGACTAATATTTTTACTTTAATGTGTTTCTTCAGTCTTGAAAAAAGAATATTCTGCACACTGCTCCATTATCACGACTTACTGATCATCCAAGTGTTTCGGTCTCTCCAGACCTACGTCAAAAGGTCTTTAAGAACAGTTCTTACAACCATGATCTTAAATACACAGTGCTCCACCCATCTTGTGTGCCCAGGTGTGCGACAATTATTCTCCCGCGGGAGTGTCTTTCAATCATTGACGAAGGTCTAGAGAGACCGAAACATTAGGATGATCAAGACTGAGGCAACACTTTCAAACGCACCTGCATCCAAGATAAAATTCAGTGTGTAAGACATTTAGATGTACGAATATCTTCATTGAGAAAACTTTTGCTCTTTTTGAAATTATGTAGAAACTTGTGTAAGACATTTGGTTTTAAAATATTCAGTGTGTTTGTCAGTGTGTCTGTCCAAATGTCTCTACAACTAGTGGATGGACTGGCATGAAATGTTCAACAGGCATTCCTGGTTCCTAGAGGATGAATCCTACTGACTTTAATGATCCCCGACTTTTCCTTTTGTGTTTTTTTTAGTTCAATATCTCAACAATCGTTGGACGGATTAACGTGAAATTCGGGACAGGTCGTCATGGTGCCCAGAGGATGAACTACAATGACTTTAATGAAATATCTCAACATCTATTGGATGGACTGGCATGAAATGTTTAACAGGTATTCTTGGTTCCCAGATGATGAATCTTACTGACTTTAATGATCCCCGGCCTTTCCTCTTGTGTTTTCTTAGTTAAATATCTCAGCAATCATTGGATAGATTGATGTGAAGTTTGGAACAGATTTTCATGGTCTCCAGAGGATTAACTGTAATGACTGATGACTGATGAAATACCTCATCATCTACTGGGTCAATTGGCACAAAATATTTATACAGATATTCATGGTTCCAGGATGATGTGCTACTGACTTTAATGATGAATGAAATCCAAGTTCGCAGCTAGCTTCTGTAGCTCAGTGCAAACTCTCATTTAACATTTCTGTCATCATCAAAAAGTGAAGTATGTTCCTGGGATTACTTTTTATATTTTAAGACTAATCTGCATCCACCACGTCGCTTGCGATTAGAAAGTGAAATCTTCATAATTTTAACAGTTTTATTTAAAAGAGTTCTTGGCTTTTGGGGAAATGGTGTTCACTCAATCCAACTAAAGTCAATTCAAAAGTTCACTAAATTCAAAAGTTTCTGAAGCACAGTTTAGTTCTGGTTTCACCGTGCCTTTGTATAGAGGTTCTATAGGTGTTTGTCACTGTGAGGAATTATTAATCCTAATAATTGGATCATTTTGGGTGTCATTGGAGAGTTGTAGCATCCCATGTTGGTCTAAATGTTATTTCAATTGGGGATTTAATTGGTAGTTACATAAAAACTGTTACATTCAAAGACATTTAATAAAAAATCTAAGTAGAAAAACATCCTGATCCATCATTTGTCGAACCTTTAAAAATGTCCTCCCACTGCACCATTCTCGGAAAGGGTTAGAAATCGCACGGACAATCACAGATAAGTTATTCTCACCCTCGGGGAGTGTACAGCTCGAGTCAGAGTCATTATCATGAGAATACCTCTAAGAATAATCACAAAGATCTATCAACAGCTCTGACTCAAAGAACAAGCGTTCCCTTCCCTGAAACGCTTTTCTTGGCCCTGATGGCGTCACTCTCTTGGCTCTGACAACAGTAGCCCCCTTCCTTATGCCGAGTCTTGGCAAAGAGCTCCGGGGGCCATTAGAGAGACAGAAACCTGGAGCTCTGTGCCGGGCAGTAGGAGGAAGCCGGGCCTCGGAGCGCTGTGGATGGTTGACGGAGGTTGTGTGTGTCTTCGCTGAGGCTCGAGGACTCATCCTGGGGGCGGGTTGACGGGCGAACATCCGGAGACTGCAGACTTACAGATGAAATATCAAGGGACTGGTGGAGGGTTTCTTCATATGTTGGTGGAGGCTAAAATGGGATGTGAAAAAGGAAATGTGACATAGCAAAGGATCTAAAGGGGAGCCCCCTGCAATTTTAGACACAAAGAACAGTTTATTAGTCATGGGGAGGTACTATTCAGCTGGAGGAGCTTTCAAAACTCCAGAAAGAAAACAAGCTTAATGATTGCCATGAGGTTTATCTCAGCTTTGGCTTGAAGACTAATGATCTGGCCGGGGTCAGGGTAGGTTCGCCTGTTTCCCCTGAATCAGGAGCAGTTCAGATGGGTCCGACATGACGAATGTTTCAGCCGTTTGGTGAAACGATCGATCAGTGAGAGATCAGATTAAGAATGTGGTTTTCATCTCGCTACATAGCTACCTAGCAACGTCATCGATCACATGGCGTCTAAGTGTGTATGGGACTGACGCAACTGTTCAGGTTGTTGTAACCGGTGGTTTCCAGCGTCAGACACAAATCAATAAATACAACTTCATCAAACCTGAAAAAGAAAAGCTCGGATGTCGTGACTGTCCCAAACACATTTAACATCCTACAGCCGCTCACCTCATCGTGGCAGCCGCTGAGGCCGAAGCGCTGAGCGATCATACAGTGGATCTGCCTCTGCCTGTCCTTCTTACGAACGCTCTCGTACGAGGGCAGCCTCGGCAGCGGCCCCTCCATGTGGTAGTCATTCGGCTTCCCTATGACAAACACTCCTCCAGGAACCTCGATCACACACACACACACACACACACATAAACTAATAGTCTGATAAGACATTTGTAACAGCTGCACGAGACACATTTCACACGTTCACAGCAGTTCTCATCATGAGTCTTCTCACCTGCAGCCCGGCGGCTCCCTGGTTCACGGCCCCACGGAGCTCATCGCTGCCCATCAGAGTGAGTCTTCTGTGGTAAAGAGGAGGGTCATCCTCGGGAGAGAAAGATCCCGATTGTTGTCACCACAAAGTTTAAGTTGAGTCCATGTCAGTTTGTTTAAATTAAACTCGTGCAGCAACTGATTGTGTTAAAATAGCTCAACAGTGTTAAAGGTCGGTGTAATAGTGAAAGAAAAATAAACTATTAAACAAACTCTGCTATACGGAAGCTGAGACAGGCCATATTCGCGAATATTTTTTATCTCGTTTACTTTGTTTATTCCAATATCTCGAGATAATGGAATAATTATCTTGTTATCTCGAAGCTCCGTTGCCTTGAGACAACGGACCTTTGTTTTCTCACGATAACGGGATAATTGTTCTGTTATCTCGAGATAACAGAACAATTATCCCGTTAAATATTAGGAGGGCGGGGTCATGGCCGAGTGTTTGTTTTGGTCTGAGATGTTCTAGTGGAACATCTGGTCACTGAAATGGTTCTCGGTCTGCTCCTGTTGTTGTTGATGGTTAATGATCTCTACTTTTGTAAACTCCTTAGATTTGCTGTTAAAGTTAAAAACAGTAGAGTGTGATATAAGGGGGGTTGAAAACTGGAGGGATACAGAAGGTTTCGAGGTTCTTACTGAGTAGTGCTCTGTTGTGTAGGGTCTGAATCTGCAGCAGAGAGGATCCTTCCTGTACAGGACGACCACCAGCATGAGGATCACCAAACAAAACGCCACACAGGACACTGAGACGGAGAGAAACTGCACAGTTACTGCCACAGAAGAAGAAACTACATGTTATAGAACAACATAAAGGTGGGCGAACTAGTGAGATTCAAGTATAATGAATGGAGAGGAAATGAACTGTAGTTTAAAGTTGTATATTAACGATCTATCACCAACAAATTAGTGGCTGGAAAATGTTTTATTTCATCTTAAACTGATGTAAAATGTCCATTTATATATTTGTTGTTTGTAGATAAAATGCATCGAGATGTAAGTAAGTATATTTAACATTCAGATATAAAATTCAAGCCACTTTGGTCACAGACTATTTTGGTGACACTTATTTTAGTTTCATTTGAGGCCTCAAGTCTTAAAGAATAAAACTATTTTCAGTTCATGAGAAATCATCAAAAACACCTCCATTTAATAGTGTACCAACACATTAACCATTAAGACTGGACTGATACATGCATCATCAGACTGGACATACAGAAATCTTATTCAAACACCTCTTGTTTTAGTAAATACACTGTTCTTCAGTGGATATCTTGCTACACATCTGCCCTATACTGTTTCTGATACTGTAAAGTGTGTCAGCAAACTCAAATAAGCACAAACATTTTGATGTTTTTCCTCACTTTACACCAGTTTAGCACAAGATAGATGAATATATACGTATAAGGAAGATGAATTGTGAGTAATTAAAAAGTGCTGCACCTACCTGAAGCCACGATGACAGTCAGTAACTCTGGTGCCATCGCAGGGATCTCCCTCAGAGTCGTTTCCTCTCGGCAGTCAGACATTCATCACCAACTTAAAACCACATCACTCCTCTCTACTCCAGCTGGAGGAAAACAGCCGACACAGACCCACACGGCTCCAGGATTATCCAGCAGGTAAATATTAACACACATGTTGTCCAGCAGAAATAACTCACCTCGATCCCCCCCAGAGGAAGGAAATCTCAACCTGTGACACAAGCTCTGCTCAGCTGAGTCTTGTGCAGACTCTAGTGGAAGTTACTGAAAGTGACCTCAGGCTTTTTTTAAAAAGTGAATATTAATTAATAAGAGATGATTTGAAATAAATAAAAAGAGCGAGGGGGTGTGGTCAGTTGTGGCGGAGCATTAAATGGAAATAAGAGATTCATACTTGGACTGGAGAGGCACTGAGATTTTTTAAGCAATACAGCAGTTTTAAATACTTTAAAATGAAGATGATTATTATTATTATTGTTATTATTATTATTGTTACTGAATAGATATGTGTGTAAACAGCATTTTAATATTTATCTGGTTGAGCTGAAGACAGGTGTCATCATATTTTATAAGGTGATCACGTGTTTTATAAAATGTCTTTGACTTCAAGATGAATTTTCATCTGATTCGTTGTGAAGAACAGAATGGAGAGGACAGATTCCTGTTGCTGCATGTCTTTTTTAATAAATGGTTATGTATTATATTATATTTAGTTCAACACGTTTTAAGGAAGTCAAGTCTCAGTTGTTCATTTTTCTGACGGTGCAAACACTTTTATACATAATGCCTGATTTTGCCACAACATGAACATTTAATCACTGAGCCTCTGAAAAGATTTAATGTGTGTGAAAAATACACTATGAAAATATCTTAGAAAACAAAATGTGAAAATGTTAATAGCCAGCAATCACAGAAACTTCCTGAGTTTGAATCTTTGTTTCGTGACACGGTCAGCTTGTGTCCAGGTCAGTGCGTCCAGCACATGATGCTGTCATGGCTGACAGGGCGGAGTCGGTTGCAACAAAAATCAGAACAGACCACACAGCAGTTTGATTCAACTTGTTTAGTTCTTAATAAACTAAATATGCTGCAAATTTTGTCCCATCGCACAAAAGCTACAGTAATATTTCAACACGTAACAAAATAATATTTATATTTTTAATATATACAAGTTATATAGTTTTATAGTTTTGGAATTATTTCATTAGCCTCTAATGTTCTTATAATATATTTACCTGCTCTGTTTAACATTAGCTATAAAATAGATAAATTGTGCCTGTTTTCACTGAAGGTAGTTTCTATGTTCTACACAAAACACAATAATTGTTCTTTGATAAACAGTATTAAATAAATAAGTTATGTAATCATTTCTTTATTAAGTACTGTTTATCAAAGAATAGAATAAATAAATTGTGTAATATTTATTTGCATATTTATAATTATGTAAAGTAAATAAATTACAATGTATATTTTCCGAATATTATGTTTATTGAGATAAAAACTAAAAGTTAATGAGTGAATTCAAATGTATTTTTAATATGATGCAACCGTCCCATCTGAATTCCTCCACTCAGATAAATATAGTGACTGACATGTTGTATATATTCATCTCGTGTGAGTGTAGATAATTAGCAGAGACAGCTGTAAGTTTGATTTATAAAAGTTTGGTTGGTCTCTGAGTAACTGAGAGAAATGTAGAAAGTCTGCAGTCTCTCTCAGTGACACAGGTCAGTACTTTAATGCAGCATCTTCCCTCTTTCCTCTTCACCTCCTCCTTTCATCACCTGCTCGTCCTCCCATCCACACATGTCATTCTGAACTCCTCATCCTCTCCTTCCTGTGAATGGTCGCTCATCCTAGTCCTCATCCTCCGCCTGCTCCCATCATCATCTTCACCTCCCCCACCCTCGGTCCATTGTGTTGTGTGGCGTGACGCGGTTGAACGATCACGACATGCCTTTTAAATGTTAAGTGATGTAGGAAGAAGACCGTGATTCACTCCAGAGGAGAGGAGGGGCTTACTGAGGAGGAGGAGGAGAGAGAGAGAGAGAGAGAGAGAGAGAGAGGTGGTTTGGTATTTTTTTATTCTCCTCTCCAGGATCCTCGGTAGTAAAAGCGCGCAGTGGAGAGGACGACAGCATGGAGCGTATGGAGTCCATGGAGCCGATCTCGGCGTGCTACACCACGGCTTACCCAGAGATCCAGCCCGACAGCGGCTTCGGATCCAGAGAGACCACCGACAGCCAGGCGAAGACCCCACCAGCTCCGACATATGACGAGGAATTAATGCACAAGGTATGAAAAAAATATGTTTTAAACTTTGCAACACTGCTTCGTGCTCGGCTACGAACCAGCCCCGGTTCCTCCAGTCCGGGTATCCGGGTATCCGGGTATCCGCCCCCGTGCTGGACCGGGCGCTGCGCTCTCCGTGGTGCTGATCCGACACTTGGTCCGTTTCCAGCCTGGCTGCGCGTCACGTTTGGCCAAAACACACGTTACTGGCTTTCAGAGATGAGCTTCCTGCGTCAGACTGAAACACTGAATTCTTCCAAACCTGTCCTCATCTCTCCTCCATCTGTAAAACATAAATCCACTTCCGCTCTCAAATGAGCAATTAGACAAGGCGAGGCACATTTGTTTGTAAGTCACATTATCACACACTGTCATTCAATGTGCTCAAAGGAAATAAAAGAAGCATCTTCAGAGAAATAACAGGCTAAAAACACAGATTATAAAATTGATAATATGTCATTAGAGTCCAAGACTAAAAGATGAAATGAAGGCAGAGGAGAACAGAGCAGTTTCTAGCTTCTTTTTAAAGCCAGTTACAGTTCAGGCAGATCTGGTCTCAGAAGCAGCAGAGATTAGGCTGCGTGGAGGAGGAGTGACGTGTGCAGCTGATCTGGCATCCAAAACATTTCACCATCACTCTGCAACAACAACCACTCTCTCTAAAAGTCAGTGATGCTCACCAAAGTGGCAGAGCCTCCCTTCCTTTGTAATTAAGATTTAAAAAACTATTTAACCACCACTTACAACAGTCGGAGCTGAGTGGTGAGGAGCCTCCTACACAGAGGGCACTCCAGGTCACATCTAGGTCTGGCTGCAGGTGTGTTAATAGATCCGTATATGTGAAAGTAGCTGTATAAAGGCTCCAGAAGGAAATGTGTGAAGTCTGACGCGACCTCAGGGGTGTGGATTTAGAAAGAAGTGCGTTAACCAGACTTCTGTAGTCCGCCCCTCATCTCTGCTTGATGATACAGTATATGCCCGATTATGATAACCCAGAATTCCCCCACATGATATACAGTACCCCACCCATACACAGATGTATATATACGTATATATATGACTGACGGACTGACTGACTGATCATATCTCCACCATTGATCAGCTGAGTGCCTCGTCACTGAGTCGGGGTTTCTGACACAAATATATATACTTAAAAAGTATCGTAAAGTAATTTGAAGTACATGTACATATATACTGTATATATACTGTATATATATATATATATATATATATATATATATATATATTTACTTCAGGTTACTTTACGATACTTTTTAAGTATATATGTTTGCGTCACAAAGTCAAACTCAGGCATATATACATATATATACTTCATGTTAGTTTACAATACTTCTTAAGTAGCAGTACCACAGTGTAAAAATACTACATTACTCATCATCAATCAGCAGGGCCAGCTCTATAATCTGATACGACATTGACTGACTGACTGATCATATTTCCACCATTGATCAGCTGAGTGTCTCGTCACTGAGTCGGAGTTTCTGGCGTAAACAGGTTCTGTCAGCAGGTGTTTACAGGTGCAGCTGTTTACTCCAGCTGATGACGTTGCTCTGTCTCTGTAAATAAGCAGCTGTTTGCTAACACATTAGCCGTAACAATTTAAATAATCCCTGTGTCAAACACAAATTGACTAAATGTCGTGTGATGAGTTACAGTAACATTTATAATTAATAAATGTTCCGTGACTCGTTAAGAGCAGCTTATGTTCGGCTACGTTAGCGTACACACACACCAACAAGTAAGGGGTTCTGTGTCCGCTGACTTCCCTCCGGTGCTGACCTTTGACCTGTCTACAGAGGGAGGAACAAAGAGAAAGGAGATATGTCACATTTTATTATAACAGACTGCAGGAGCAGCTTCAGGTTCAGAGTGAGGGAGCTCAGTCACAGCTTGTGTTTTCATATCTGGCCTTTAGTTCATGATGTCCTACTTCCATTTAAGCATCTGTCGCTGGAGGGAATCAGTGCACACTCTGATTCCTTTATGTTTTAACGTATTTTTAACGTAATAGTTGATGAATTACTGACACATAATGATCAGAGCGTCGTGGTGACTGCTGATGCTGCTCAGTGATTTTAGCACAAGTTTAGTGAGAACTGAGTTTTTACCCGAAGGCTAATTGGTCCAAGGAGACACGAACCGAATGTAACCACTACACTCTCTCACCAGCGTCCTCTAACTGCCTCAGAGATGTGTGTGTGTGTGTGTGTGTGTGTGTGTGTGTGTCATGAGGGGAGCAGGTGCTTTGCAAAGGGGCAAATTTCTAACAACGCAAGCTGTTCTTTAAAAAATCAGGAACAGCGGTTCTTTTCAGGTGAACGACGTCCGTCCAGTTTTACTTTCCTGGCTCACTTTCTTTTTTTCTTTTCTTTTTTTTTTGGTTCTGTCTTTTACATTATCTCTTTTTACTGGGGGGGGTAATTTCTTTTTTAGTCATTACACAACGAAACAGAGCTCAGTCTTTGAGTGCTCTGTGGTTTTTCCAGTGGTTGGACATGGAGCTGAAATGACTCTGTGGTTCTGTAACGTTGTCCTACATCTGATATTAAGCTCCAAACAACAGCTCTATTGAAATCAATGGAGCGTTTATACTGTGATATACCATTCAATATCTTACACACACACACACACACACACACACACACAGAGAAGAAAATGTGGAATGGTTTGCCTTCAAATATTTCACATTTAACACGTAAAAGTGTTTTTATCATCAGGTTTTTATCATCATCCTGTTTTTTATTGATTCATTTCATTATGTTTGACTGTCTGATTTTATTTTTACTGAACCTCATTGCCCCCCAGCCGGCCCGGCCCCCCCCCCACCCCCCCCCATCCCGCGCCTCCCCTCGACCCGCCCCCCCCCCAGCCCCACGCCCCCCCCCCCACCACAAACTTTTGTTAAATACTTCTTATTACATTTCTTATTCATTTTTTACTGTTCGCACTTTGTGACTGTGTTTTGACAGGTGCTACTATAAATAAAGTTTAAGAGCCTCTCTACACATTACACATATTATATATAGACTATATGATCATTAACCTAATCTTATTCATTTTCCTTCCATCAGTATGTAGCCTGCATGAGTCTGTGTGATGCATCAGGCTGACTCTTGGAACAGGAAGCTGCAGTGATCTGCTCCCGCTCTGTGGGTTCAGATCCCAGCTGTGCCGCGTGTCCATCAGTAAATTAGCGGCAATATGAGAGACGTCAGGCTGAGTTAGATCCCAGCCGCGTCACGGGCTTCCTGTTCCCCGGGAGGATAGACGTGACGGTTTCTCTCCTCTCGGGGCAGCGTCAGGAGTCAGTTTACGACCACGATGGCCTCCATGTTTCTCAGTGAACGCTGAGCTCAGACAGGAGGAAGAAAAAACAATCTGTTTGTTATCTGTTTCAACACGTCCTCCACGTCTCATTCCCGAAACATCTGCCGCACTTTCACCTAATTGCCTCCAGTCTCCAGTGAGGTTTTATGAGACAGGCTGACTTTCCCATCTAACCTCTGTTACCATGGAAACAGCATCATATCCCCCCCTCTCTCTCAAACCACACATACATTCAGATCATCATCACGTGTACTGTGCATGTCATTTTACACACACACACACACACACACACACACACTCATGCTGGCGTTATGTTACACACTCTCAGTAAACAGGAAACAGGAAACAGATTCCATTAAGTCACAGATGAAATCATGATGTTGCTGCTGGTTTGTGGTTCGTGCTGCGTTCAGTGTGCACCTCCCTGATCACTCACTCCACCTTCAGGGATTCATCGTGTCTGTTGTTACGGCCCCGAGCACAAAAGTGTTAGCCATGAATAAAACATGGTGTATATCTGCTGTAGCGCAGCTGCTAATGTTAGCATTTCCATCTAATTATCTTACCAAGGGCGAGGAGCACATCATTAACCAACTAGATTAGAAGAAGAAGAAGAAGAAGAAGAAGAAGACTTTATTTGTTCAGCACTTCTCAATATAAAACATAGAAACATGTCAAAGTAAAATGTAAACAGATATCACACAATAAAATAAGATAAAACAGGGAACTGTTTCCGTTAATCTGCTTAAAGCACAAATTTGAATTTTACAAAGCGAATTAAGAATTAAAGTAATAGAAACTGGCATTTTTCTTGCCTTTATTTTGAAAGCCACAGTGAGTGTAATGTGTAAACATTCAACACTCAGCTGTGGACACTGATATCTGTCAGTGACGTGTAATAGCAATAACTGCCGGCTAGAAATATTCTCAAATAAAATAAAGATAAAAATAATCATTTTGAAATCTTCATAGGATCCAAGTGAAGCGGTCTGAACCCCCTGAGACCCCCCCCCACATTCTGCACACGGCTCCAACGCTCCAAAACCAGTCAACATTTTATTGCTTCACCTTTTCATCGCTGAACAAACATGAGAGTTTTTAAGCTGCTGCTTCAATGACTCCTCTCTCTCTCTCTCTCTCTCCCTCTCTCTCTCCCTCTCTCTCCCTCTCTCTATCACTCTCTCACTCCTCCTTCGTTCCGTCTCGACACTTGCACCTTCTCTCTCCTCATACGACCCTCTCTCTTCTCCCATTTAACCGGCCTCCTCCTCTCTCTCTCACCTCTACTCTCTCCCCCATCCCTCCTCTCGATCCTCTTCTCATTCTCCCCTTTTCTTCCCCTCTCGCTCTTTCTCTCTCTCTCTCTCTCTCTCTCTCTCTCTCTCTCTCTCTCTCTCTCTCTCCCTCTCTCTCTCCCTCTCTCTCTCTCTCTCTCAGCAGTGTATTTCATAAGCAGACTGAGAGACTGAGTCATTGAAGTTTTACCTGAGAGAGGCTGATATGAAAATTCGAGGACGTGCTGCTGAGGCAGGATCCTCAGTATATCTCCCTCCAGCGCTGAGACGAGACTCTAAAATCCCTCCGATCAAAGAGAAGCTGTAAAACCTGGAACTGTTGAGAAAAGCTCTAATCCCCCCCACCCCCACCCCCATCAGCCTTCATCATCCATAAAGCATTAAGGCAAAATTGTTGTGCAGTGCAGACGTCACTTTTCTTGCTCAGAATTTGGACGCAGACAGGAAGTGAAGACAGAGAGCGCTCACTCAGAGTTTCAGTTGTCTCGTCCTGTTGCTGTCAGTTTACGTCTCCTGGACTGTGTGTGACGTGAACACACAGGTGTTGTTGAATTACAGGTATGATGTAAGTTTAGGTTTATGTCTCTTAAATTCTGTTCACAATCTGTTAGTGAACATTTCTCCTTCTCTGAGATCATCCCTCCACCTGACAGGTGCATCACATCAAGATGCTGATCACACAGTATGAGTATTGCACAGGTGTTCCTTGGGCTGGTCACAATAAAAGGCCACTTTAAAATGTGTTTTATTTTGAAAAAAAGACCCTTATTATGTTCTGAAGTGTGGATTTCTCATGACTTGACGTCACGTCCAGTGACTAATAAATGTCTTTTGTTTTTCAAAATAAAAAAACTCGACCTGTATTTACAGCATCGAAACTCAAATAAGTCACAACAGCTTGTGTGTGTGTGTGTGTGTGTGTGTGTGTGTGTGTGTGTGTGTGTGTGTGTGTGTGTGTGTGACTAACTTGTTGTTCTGGACGTCGTCTCCTCCAGTTTGTGACTCACACTGTAATAATGCTTCTTATTTTATTCTTATCATTATTATTAATATTATTTTTATCTGTGTTGCTTGAAAGCAGAAACGTCCAGCGTGACGCAGACGCTGACTCACACCTGGACGTTATGAAATGGTGAAAGACTGACTCTGATTCCAGTCGTTTTTATTGCACTGGATCTGCTTTTACTCCCAGTTTACCTTCACATAGTGACGGAGCAGTTTGTCAGGAAGGTGAAGGTTAGGAGCCGTGAACTGTGGCCATGAACAAACAACACTCCTGCTGGGTGTGAGTGTGCAGGTGTTCCTAATAAAGTGCTCAGTGGCTGTATGTAGAGTATATATAGAGATACAGACTGGGTCAGTGTGTTTAAGTGTGTGTGTGTGTGTGTGTGTGTGTGTGTGTGTGTGTGTGTGTGTGTGTGTGTGTGTTTTCCTGCAGACGATCCTGGTCGGGGACAGTGGCGTGGGGAAGACGTCTCTGTTGGTGCAGTTCGACCAGGGAAAGTTCATCCCCGGATCCTTCTCTGCCACAGTGGGCATCGGATTCACGGTGCGTGTGTGTGTGTGTGTGTGTGTGTGTGTGTGTGTGTTTATGTGTGTGTGTGTGTGTGTGTGCTGTGTCGTGTGTGTGTGTGTGTGTGTGTGTGTGTGTGTGTGTGTGTGTGTGTGTGTGTGTGTGTGTATCTTTTACATATAATTCTTTTTACATATTTATCTCTCGCCGTGCAGTTAGTTTTGGATTTATTGGAAACCTGTGATGACACACAGAAGTCAGTGGCGTGCGGCGACTCTACAGACAGACACATATTAACATGAATATAAACTGAGTGTGATAAATAAAATGTAAAAGCTGCTCCACAGTTCACTCTAACTGTCGATCAAGGTCATTAGTAAAACAACTTCAACCAATCTGAGATGATAAATCACAGTGTCATTAGCTCGTCTTAGCTAGCTGCAATATCATAACTGGTGTAAGGACAGTGGAAGCGGAGTAAACAGCAGCTGGATTTGTCTGTAGCTAATCACCCATCAAAGGTCAAGGATTACCCACAATGCACAAACTGTAGATACAACAGCTTCTCAGATACTAGCTTCAAAAACTTTCTCACATCAAGGATCTAAACTGACACAAAGATTTTGTCTGATAGGATCTTTGGTTTTACATGTTTCATTACAGAAAGTGTTTGAACCAACACAATCACACATCCTGTCACTGTGTTACTTATGGATGGAATAACAGTGAAAATAAATGACCTCCAGAACCTGATTTTCTACCAATGAAAAGTGCACATTTGAAGTGGATGTTACGCTCTAGTCTTGGGGAATAAAAGTGCAACAGAAAAGTACAAGGAGGTTTCCGCTGGTGTGACTCTGCCTTTAATCTCGCAGAGACTCGTCGTCATTACAGTGGTGTGAAGGTAAACCGTAAACCTGGACGAACAAACGATCTGCCTGGAGAGAAAGTAACTGAGGTGTTTTTTATCCTTCGGTCTTGAGTCTCATTTAAAATCTGTTTCTGCTCCTTTCAGAATAAAGTGGTGACTGTGGACGACGTAAAGGTCAAACTACAGGTCAGTGAGAAAATCAGTCCCAGTGGAAAAACAAAAAGAAAAAAACTTGAAGTGCTTTCATAAGAACGGCCTATTTTTAGAGCGCAGACTGGTTTCATTTTGGGCACCAGTGTTGTAACTGAAAATTATAGTTAGCCATGTGAAACCAGGCCAGAGCTCCAAGTATAGCTTTGGTCTCTGTTTCAGATTTGGGATACCGCGGGACAGGAGAGGTTCAGGAGCGTGACACACGCATATTACAGAGACGCACACGGTGAGACACAAATCTACGTTACTACATGATCCACATGTACCGAGAGTTTACTGTGATGTTCGGGTGTGCATGTGTTGATTCATCATTTCTGTTGCTTCGTCTCCAAAGCCCTGCTCCTCCTGTACGACATCACCAGCCGATCATCCTTTGACAACATTAGGGTGAGTCTGGAGAGATGTGGAGATGAGTGGGTCAGGAGGAGGAAATAAAAACGATGCGTTCATGTGTCTGTCTGTCTCTGTTGTCTCAGGCCTGGTTAACAGAGATCCACGAGTATGCGCAGAGCGACGTAGTCATCATGTTGCTGGGCAACAAGGTGAGAGGGAAAAGCTTGAGAAGCTCAGCAAGTGAAGGGAAGAGTGCTGAGAAGTGACGTTTGGAGAAAGCTGAGAGGAGAGGAGATAAACACAAAGAAAATGAATCTTACAAATGAAAGCAGCTATAATTGATTGGCAGATCAATTGAACAGAGGTTTTGATGAGCAGGTCAATCAATCAGCTGCTAGGATACACAATGTGTTTGAGTGAGAAAGGCAAACTAAAATTATTTTTTGTTTTTTTCCATCTGTTTAAACAACCCCTGAGAGACAACCCCCCAAAGCCTGGGGGTCCTTTCCACAAATTAAAAAATTACAAAATTACATTTTCACCCAAAGGATTTTTTTTTGTCTCAGTTTCTGTGAGAAGAAAATAAGCTACATCTCTAGAAAAGAGAAGGAACAGAACAGTGATGTTATATAACTTGGTAGCACACGTACTTTGGAGAAATTAAAAATCACGTCGAGGGAAACATTAATGCTTTAAGTCTGATTTAGACTGGGGTCGTCCGTGGTGCACTTCACCCTCTTGTGGCCAAAGTCAGTATTACCAAAACAAACACTTCCAGAAAGACAAAAAAATCACTTGCCTCTTGGGGGAAAAAAATAGAAAAATGATCCTGGCAAAAAAAACAAAAGAAACAAATGTCCCTTTTCTTTCAGGGCTTCTGTAGCAACTGACAACGTGTCAGACTTTGTTTTGCAAACTAGCACATTTGCTGTGAGACTTAAATCTTGTAAAATGTAAATGCTCAGTGACTGAGATGAAGTGCTTTTGTTTTGTTAGATGTTCTGTCTTAACGCTGTGAATCTGTGTGTCAGGCCGACATGAGCGGTGAGAGAGCGATCAGGAGAGACGAAGGAGAGAGGCTGGCCAGAGTGAGTGATCTCTTCACTGACGTGCTTTCTGTTGTTTATGCAACAATACATTTACTGCAGCTGTATCAGTGGGATATTTGCATCTGGTCCAACATTTCATTTGAATGGATGTAAATACGACACAGCTCAGAGACCTTTAGTCAAGCTGAAATTCTCTGATGCTAAATGGTCTTAAATATAATAAACTGACATTAGACATGAATATAAAAGACTATAAACTGTTGTTTCTCCTCTTCGTGTCGCAGGAATATTCAGTTCCCTTCATGGAGACCAGTGCCAAGACTGGAGTGAACGTAGAGCTGGCCTTCACCGCCGTGGCCAAGTATGAGACTGTGTTTTAACACTAACTCTCTGCACACAACAACGTCTCCATCTTCTCTTCACTCTACATTAAACAGCCTCTAATTATATTATTCATTTGACCGCGGCTTCCTGAATTATCATCAATATGTAACTGATATATATATAATACAGACTTCAATCTAATAAGAGGCTACTTTGAAAAAGATCATATAATATATAATATAATAATCCATATTATTGCACTATAACTCATTAAGCTTGAGCTGAAGCATATTTCTAGATTATTGATTATTTATTATTATAAATAATCTAATAACTCAGTGCTTCATCAGAAATTTCACTATTTTCTCATTTGTTACAGTTTCAAATCATTTTTATTGACTCATTAATAGAGATGTAATTAATGTATTTTTCATTAAATTGATTAATTAATTAATAATTAATTAGTGGACCTTAACCAAGGAATTTCAAATTAACTTAATTTAAAAAAAACTAATTTTACCCCATAAAAATAATTTATTCCATACAGAAAAAAACTATAATATATGTTGCAACCAATGTATTAATGTATGATACTGAACATGAATCACTTATAATATAATTAATTTTCACCTGAAAATATTTATCATAATGTAATGAACCTAAATCATATTACAATAATAATGATCACATTGATTTCTTTAAACAAAACATCATAAACCACTGATTTATATCAATGTGATTACATGAGGAATATTATATAAACTTGTTTATTTACTTTATTAACAATTTTTCTTAGAGTTTTACTTTTATAATCAAAACTGTTTTAATTTACATGAGAGAAGATTTAGCAATTAACATGAATATGTAACTGTGGAGCCACGAAGACAAGGGAAGAATTATTAACACATGGAGTCGACAACAGTCAAAAGGAGCTACAACATAAGGGAGATTAAAAAGATCCAGTCTGGAAAACTCAAAGTACAGTAAGTAACTACAGACAGAGGGAGACACAGGTGCAACACATGAGGGCAGAGCAGGTAATCACAGAGGCCGGAAACACACGGGGCAGGAAGTAAAACAGCAAGAGACGCTTAACGAAACTCGTTTCAAAATAAAACGGGAAATAACAGAGTCAGGGCAGTAACACAGGCACAGGGGCAAATCATGACAGAAATTATTTATAAAAAACATTTTGCTCATTTTTCTTCTTTCCCTAACACTGTTCAGACTGAACCACTCCTTATTCTGCAGATGGTTTTTTCATGTTTCTATAAACATAAAATAATAAACTAACAAAACAAAGTGTTTGTTCTTGCCACAAAAGTTTTTCCTGACCACGATGTCAAATCCTCTAAACAACAGTTTTAGGTCAGCAGCTCTTTAAAGCAGGGAAGCACAGCTGGCTTTACAGACGGTTGTTCTCACACCAACAACAACACACTTTAAAATCCAGATAACATCAGCTGGCCGTGGTCAGGCAGGAACCTCCATGTCACCAGAGGTGGATGACACAAACTCTGTTCTGTTCCTCAGGGAGCTGAAGCACCGAGCCGTCCAGCACCCGAGTCAGCCCAAGTTCCAGATCCACGAATACATCGAAGCACAGAAGGAGAAGTCAGGCTGCTGCAGCTACTTCTAGACCTGATCTAACCCCCCCCCCCCCCCTCCTCCCACCGCTCAGGGTGAACAGACTGTCCGAGACGCACCGGGGGCGACCGAGTGGGAGTATTTTGGGAACTCACCGCTGTTCCCAAAATAAGATGCTGCCGTTCATTCAAGACTGAAAACCAAACGTAGATCAGAGGACAAACCAAACTACAGCAGGGTCCCCCACCTCTTCAGAATGACTCATCAAATCATGTGAGAGTACAGCCTTACAGTGTGCTGTTTGCTTTCTTTATGAGAGTGAGATGAGAGAGTGTTGAACACAGAGCTGGAGTCAGGACGTGGTTCTAGCTTAGCATACAGACTGAAGGTAGGAGGACACATCTGGTCCAGCCCCCCCCGTTATCGAACCCCCCGAGATGAACTGTTAAAATACAGCAAAATGCAAAGCTTTATACAAATAGATTTGTTCTTAAGTCACGTTAACAAGTTATTTAAGATCATTTGTGTCATTCTTATCATATATATTGCTAACGTCAGCATGCTATCATCTTAGCATGGTAGCATGCTAACATTTGCTAATCACCAGTGTACACAAAGTATAGATGAGGCTGTTAACGTGCCAGATGGTTTGTTACACGGATCTACGAAGGCTTTCAGGTTGGAACCTGTTTGGAAAAAAGCCTTGAATAAAAAAACTAACTTGGCAGCTGATTGGATGAAACATCTGTCAATCATATGAGGTAGAATTAGAGCGCCCAAGAGGAAACGCAACGCAACAACAAGCCATAATCATGTCATAAACACACTAAAACATTACTCATGACAAAGCCTATTTACTCCCAAAATATGAATATAAATTACTATGAGCTCATATAGCCACTGAATTGTTTGAATCTTTTGTGGCAAACGTAATTATACATATTATATATTATATACCCCCTGCTTAACGTGCCGCGCCCCCAATGTTGAAAGCAAACCTACGCCCATGCTGCTAGCTTTGCTAAAAAAACACACCCGCCAACAGTAGTTAGCTTTAGAGGTGATTCATTCATTGTATCTAGAAATATAAAAACAACAATGTGTGACCCCCCCCCCCCTCCGCTTCCAGTCATTATGCTAAGCTATGCTAACTGCCTGCTCTAGCTTTAAAGTTAGCTTAAACATGTAAAGATAGTATAAATTTTCTCATCTAACGCTCAGCAAGAAAGCAAATGAGTCCAAAATGTCAAACTGTTCCTTTAAGGAAATATTTAATTTATGCTTTCCTGCAAGGTCTTTATTTATTTATTTATTTTTATTTATATTTTTTGGTTGTTTGCCTTATAAAAATCACTGACACCTGACATCTCATTTAGCACCACATCATAGCTGATGCAAGAACAATAAACGTCTGTAAACACATAGTTTAGCCAAAGTGGAGGATGTTGCTGAGCACCCACACAACCACTGAGAGTCTCTGCTGAAGCGTCCTGAGGGAAAAACCCAACGTTGCTGCAACCTTGTGTATGATGCAATCTACCGACGGATCCAGACAAAGGCCACACACTGTGTCATGGAGGCAATTCAAAGCCAAGTACATGGACAAAAAGCCCCGTCTGTCTGTGGCCGAGTCAGACCGGTTCCCTCCTGACGAACTGCTCCTGATGAGTGACGGCCGGCTGCTGTTGGAGAAGCTGAGGGACACGCCTGAGTTTCTGTTTGTGGACATGCAGAGGAACGTGTCAGTGATGAAAAAAGAAAAAAAGTTTGAGTCTCCTGAGATGTGTCTCTAGAGGAGGACCGCTGCAGGATACGAGCTACCTGACTATTACCCGTGGTTGGATTTCTGATTTCGTCCTTCATTTAGGAAACACCTTTGTATTTGTGAGTGAGTGACACTTGCTTTTTGACATGTTGGCTGCTTTACTTTCCTCCTAAAAACATTGTATATTTTTGCTTTTAACGGCCTGATAATGAACTTCAGTTTAAAGCTCAGTTGCATGTTTGCTGGATTGCATGCATGTGCAGAGCCTCCCGAACATATGAAACTCTATTTATATTTGCATCAAGATGAACATAGACATATGAACAACTAATTAGCATATCTAAACAAATCTGAACTCAATTCTCAGGGTAAATTTAGTTTTGAAACACCAGACCTAATATTAAAGCTGCATTCGTTAGCAAACAGTTGCCAATTTACACATCAGACACACAGACACATAAGCATTTGTTGAAGTTGAATCTCTGGCTGCCAAATAAATGTAAATATCTCTGTTTTGGTCTCCACCAACTCCTGAGATACAAATCTGGTTCTTTAGTTGTGCCGTGCTACACTCCTTTCACTAGCTAGTAACTAACTTTGCCATATGTTTGATTTTTGAAGAATTTTTTGGATTAAAAAATGCTCAGACACCCAAAACAATTACTCAAATATTAATTTGATCCATTGCTAATGGAAGTGCAGCTTTAAAGCACGAATGATGTCACAACAGAGGTTTCATGTTCAGGTTTTACTGTCACACAAGCAGGTTTATGAACTTCTGTTTGATAAACAGTATGCAATGCAAATATTTCATATTGATTAATTATTGTGTGCTCTGAGTCAGCTCAGGTCTAATGCAGTTTATAATCTAATATTATTCAGATTGTGGCCATTATAGTCTCTACACACTGAACAGTTGTGTGTGTTCAGACCAAGCTGATGACAGTTGTCTTTGATGTGTTGTATGCTGCATAAAAAATAAAGTATTTTTAACTGAACACACTTTATATCGAGAGTGGTGTCCTCCACAGCCGCCAATATGGTTGTAGCCACAGTGTGTGATGTGTGTGTGTGAAGTGTTTACATATGAATGGTTATGGGAGGAAATCCTCTTCACTCACAGCCTCTCCCAAAATGTGATGCAGCCATTCATTCAAAACTAAATGTCAAAGTAGATCAATGGAGTCTCCTGATAAATGAACTTAATCACTAAATAATTTTTGTCTTATTATCTATATTGACATGACAACCTCTGACCTTCTGTGTGTGTGTGGGTGTGTGTGTGTGTGTGTGTGTGTGTGTGTGTGTGTGTGTGTGTGTGTGTGTGTGTGTGTGTGTGTGTGTGTATGTGTGTGTCAAACTCTCCCACCATAAACTTGCATCATACTCAAACCTTTTGAGTTTTGCCTAATTTTATATTTCAGTATATTTCAGTTTGACAATCTTATTCCTTTTTTTGTATCAATAAAGTCAAAAGTCTTAATATAGTCTGTAAAATTTTATCTTTGTGTATATGAAATCTGCCATAAAGGATCATCGAATTAACAATGAATTCAGTGTCATAATTATTATGTTCATAATATGTAATTTGTATATTGAAACTATTTTAACTTACTACTCTACTTAATATTTGGATAAATATAAATGTGTTGGATATATACTGTGTAAAATTACGATATGTACTTCTTTAATTTTACAGGTCATACATAATGTAGTAGCCAAGTTTTATGCCACATTCCCCTCAGTTCTCTACAGCACCGATTGCTGATGAAGTTATAAGGACTGTGTCGTATGAGCGGTATTTGCTTTTATTTTGAAATTCTGCGACGCGCGCTAATCGTATGAAGTTAGCTTGACGGTGGTACCTCCGCTCAGAGCGGGACGGTGTCGGACTGGAGGTGGAAGAGAAGACTGCAACACAGAAAGAAGGAGGAAGGAGGATCCGTGAGCTGCTGTAGGCGTGAAAACTCAGAGTAAGCAGCGGAAAGTTGACTGAGTCAGTTGAGCGGAAGTGAACTCTGGTACAGGTGTCACTTCTTCTACGGTGGTTGAGTGACTTCTTTACTTAAAGGCTTTGAAGTGGTTTGGGATTAAAGTTAGAAGAGGAACAACATGTCGAGCCTCCGACCCAGACTGTGTGTGCTGGAGAAAGGAACCAGCGGCTACGGGTTCCACCTGCACGGAGAGAAGGGCAAGACCGGGCAGTTCATCAGGCTCGTGGAGCCCGACACTCCCGCCTCCGCAGCCGGGCTCCTCGCGGGCGACCGGTTGGTGTTCGTGAACGGGGAGAGCGTGGAGGGCGAGAGCCATCAGCAAGTGGTCGCCAGGATACGGGCCACCGCCGGGGCTCTGGAGCTCATCGTGGTCGACGCCGACACGACTGAGCTGCTGAGGAAACACAACCTGCAGTGCCGGAAAGAGTTCGCCTCAGAGGGGATTCCCCTGCCCGGCGGGGACAGCGACTCGGACCGCGGGGACTCACAGAGCAACGGCACTCCGAGGGGGTCCACCCCGGTCCAGCGAGAGAACGGGGATACTTCCTCGGAGAGGTCGGGGAGGCTGAGTGTCAGCTCCAGCACCAAGGTACAGAAAAGTTACTGTACACTACTTAGACTTTGTATAATATAGTATTATATGATATGATATGATATGATATAATATTCATATTTAGCATATCATATTTATAAATGCCTTCAAAGACAGACCTTGTCAGGTCAAAAGGTCACCTGTTAACCTCTTGCCCTGTGAATAGGATTTGGTTATATCTATAAAATCCTCTATCATGTATGTTTGTTTTGGGATATGAATATATAGCTACAGATATCATACAAAATATCTTTAAAGTCAGTTGAGAAACTTCACCATGGAAGTTTTTTTTCTGGCCCTTAGATAAATATCTGTCACTAAACATTCAACTCTTATATATCATACAATATTAATATCTTGACATATTTCAGCCCAAGTATTGCGACATATTCAATATTAATAATTAAAAAAACAGATTTTTAAAATTAATGTATTGTTTTTTATGTTTAACTTGTTTTTTGCAATAATAACATAATTATGTGACTGTATTCTATGTGTCAGGTGTTTTTCATACAATATGTCATCTTATATAAGTTTTATTTGTCACATGCCAAGGTACAAGGTACAGTAAGCACAGCAAAGGGTCAGACTCAGCAGTAGGACAAACTGTGCAAAGCTGCCAAAAATATTATATTATATTATATTATATTATATTAGCCTATATTATATTATATTAAATATTTAAAAAATAAAATTGTTTTTTTTGTTATTTTGATATTATGAAAGTATTGCATATGCTGGAAAATATTGCATTATTATAATATTATATATTATATTATAATGTGTGCCCAAGCATACTTTATGTTACATCACTTACATTTATATCAACAAACTGTTTATTCAACAGTTTATTGACAAAATATCCAGATGGAAATGTCTATTTATGACTAATCCAGTGCATCAGATACCAGGTAAATGAAGGTAATTTTTTACATCACTGCAAAAAAATAATATAAAAAATCTATATTGGCATAAAAGATTATTGATCATTGATTTGCAGCCTTGTTTATAATGCCCCATTACACCCAAATGTACTGTATTAAAGGGATAGCTACCGTTTTATTAACGACAAAATCTCTGATGGTTCAGGACATATTCAATGATAGTTAAAAACACAGTTCGTTCCAAATATCTGCAATGTAGGAGTCAGATTCATCAGCCAAAGCAGCAGTGGCCCCTGGTTTATATCTCCCGATCTGATCTGGGGCCAGCATCGCCTGCAAGCTGCAAAGGTTACATGTGAATAGATCCTCTATAAGCAGCCTCCTCCACTTGCCAGTGAAAGGCTATAAGCTAAGACAGAGAGGTGACACAGCAAAGTGAAATGTCCCAGGCCTTTGTCATAGAAATGTGTGTCAGTGTCTCAGCTTCTTGTCCTGAATTCCCGGTCCAGTTCGGCTTGTTGGATCAGATGCTCTGTCAGATTTGCATATCAATGAGACATCCTTTTTGTTTTTTTACACTCTATCGTTATCTAGAAGGGTTTTAAAGATAGAATATCACTTTGAAGATGTTCACAGTAACTAGTATTTAGTGTTGGATTAAGGTGTGTCAACATTTTTGAAATTCCTGACTCAGCTTTGTAGATAGATATCACAAAAACAGCTTGATCCGATGGTCTGACGTGCACCACATGCACATGCAAAAACTGAAATACTTTGATACACGTTTCTTTCTTTGGTTGACCGTAATCCTGCCTTTGTTGTGGGTTATAAAAGTTATTTTATAACATTAATCTTTGGTTGTAAAAATAGAAGATTTCTCAGACTATGTAACTGTTTCAGCCGGAGCAAAGTCTGGGCCCTGATTTAAATGTTGTGTAACTGTGATGTGAAATAGCCTCATTGTGGAAGTGTTGATCCGTGTGGAACTCTCACGGTTAGATTTTATTCAGGAATTCATATGAAAATAATGGGATACGTGGTTATTTTTAGACATGGCCCCTTCAGTAAGTAGGAGATAAGGATCGGCTACAAAGCAACACGAAGGAACTGGTGGTGATTCATTATTATGCATTACATTGTAAAATCTTAACCATCACAATATTACTTGAGCTGATGATTGTCTTCATTATTGATCTGTTTATCTATGAAGGTTTAAAAGTGCCGTGGACAGTGGCCATGACCTGGGCACTGTTACTACTGTGTTGTACTACACTGGGTGTCAGGAGCAGATGTGTTCAGGCATGTGTTGTTGGACTAGTGATAAAGTCTTTACCACACAGACATGTCATCATCGTTTGAAATGAGGAAAAATCTCAGTTTCTTAGCTGATGTTTGTCTGCAGCCGTTTCATCTCATCATTTATTTGTAGATTCTCGTTTTACATTGAACTTTTTCTCATTTTGTTTTTATCGATACGACATCTTTTCTGCCAAGTAGAAAAACATGTAATGTAAAACATGTTTAACCTCTCTCTCTCTCTGTCTCTCTCTCTCTGTCTCTCTCTGTATCTCTCTGTATCTGTCTCTCTCTCTCTGTCTCTCTCTCTCTGTCTCTCTCTCTCTCTCTCTCTCTGTCTCATATATATTTATATTTCTGAAAGAAAACATGAGAATAGAGTGAAATATATCAATAAGTTCAGTTTGACATTGAGTTACAAGTTAACAAGTTTACACATTTGTGTTTACAAGTGAAATTCATAATAAATTTAAAGAAATATTTGGTCTTTTATTCACTGTACCGAAAACATATAGAAGTGTGAATTCAGAACCGAGTTACGTACCGAAATGTGAGTTTTGCGTCCCGTTACACCTCTTTGTGATCGGCTACTGTCAGACTGATTTAGATATATCCCTGAATATCTATTGTTAAAATACAGAACTGATTTTTTGGGATGTCCTGATCAAGTTTTTGGCCCTGATTCCAATCTGTGTCCTTTAATACTATCTGCAGATTCCAAGTCTGATCTGATACTTATATTTATCTAATGATCATTAAATATGTATCTGACAGTTGTAACTACTAAATACTAGATTCAGGACACTTTCTTTTAAATGTATTATAAGTTAATTATAGTAAAAGGTAGCTCTACATATAGGCACCTTTGGCCCCTGTTCTGCTGTTATAAATGGGATTTCTAGGTCTCTTTCCACCTAGTTGGCTCAAGCCCCATCACTAATACTCCAGTAAAGCTGGCCAGCTGGGATGCTGCAAACCTCCTGCTACTTTCCTCCCTAATGTAAAGCTTGACAGAGCCTAATGGTCTGATCCTGGCCTCTGATACCAGCCTCTCTGTGGGATACACTCGAGTGGGCTGGCTAATGATGATATGAAACCAACCCTGTGGAGCATAATCATGCTCAGACAATTGTTTCTTTCATGTGTTTGCCTGTGGCCGGACTTGGTATTGCAGATCAGGCCTCGGTCACCAAACTATTTTCACACCAGATCAGCCAAAATCGTCATGGTGATATCCTCAACAAAGAGCTGGATATCTAATTCTGCAGAGGTTGTTTTTCTTGTTGTTTTTTTTTTCTGCGGAGATAAAAGCATGAACTGAGCATGTCATCGTATTATGGTAACATCCTGGCCTCCAGCGACTCAGTCCTCCAGCACACCGAGAACTGTCTGCCGGTCACCATAGAGACTCCCCTCAGCAGAGAGAGAGGAGGCTTTGTCCACAGTGTTTGCATGAGGAGAAAGACTTCAGGGCCAGGGAGGAAAGGAGAGAGGACTCTCACGCCTCGAGTGGGACGCCGCGCTGACCCTGAAATACCGACACCCTCACTTAACACACACTGTCAATAGGGCCGCGGCGAAGGGAGAATGTGTGTGTGGGCAAAAGGTTCTGGCCGCAGGATTAAACAGCGATCGGTTCTGTGGTTGTGGATGTGAACGAGTCAAACAAATGATGAAATAAGAGGATCCTGAATGAGGGGGGGGGGTTCACAGTGTGGAGGGAAGGTTTGACATTTGACTGGATAACAACAGCAGGGACAGAACTATAAATGCGAATGTCGCTGACTGACTGAGTGATCAAGTTACACCATTGGTTGCCCGGCCAAGAGTTTCCCCGTTGGTCGTTGACACCTAGCGACAGATCGAGCGACTTTCTGGACAAACCTTAGCTACTGTCTGCAGAGGAGAGTGGCCGGTTCCCTCTCTCTGCTGAGCTTCTAACTTTCTCTCTGAAGGATCATTTTACAGTAAATCACAGCTCAGTCTTTGTCTTTACCTGACTTGTTCGGTGATGCTGTCGGACGCGTTTCAGTCCCAGTTTCAAACACGTTCTGTGGTCTGACAAAAGAAACTGAAAAACATGTAAATGAGAACGGCTGTATTAAAACACTGTGACCGGCTGACACTTGGCAGAATGAAAATAACCAGCAACATCTTCTACTAAGTTTTGACCTGGTCGGGTTTTAACGGTCAGCCCATTGGTTACTCATTCAGAGAAGATGATTGACTTATTATATTTCCACCCATCGTCTCACAACACTTTTCACCCTGTGTGCTCCTTGCTTGCACTCCTTCACAGAGGAACGTAAGACTTTGATCCTTGTACTTGGAGTGAAGGCCTTGAGGCAGCTCTCATCTTTACTGAGGATCATTTCTCCTTTAGTGTTTCACAATGTCTCTTATCACTTGGCTCATATAAGCCTGGGAAAGAACAATTAATCTGTCACTTTATTGGTTCAGGAGTAGTGACTGTGCTGTAAATCAAGATTAAACTGTGACGTTACTCAACATGGCCGCAGTTGCTTAAGTTTATTCCATTGACAGGATGTTTCCAGCCCAGGTGAAACAGGTTAGAGACCAAAGTGGTTCAGTTCAGTCGGAGGAGTTACACCCAGTGAGTTTAATATTTTATCTAGATGCATTTTGTAGTTTTGGTGAGTGAAATGTTGAGTTGATTCTTCAGTTAATTTAGTGGCGTAGCTCGACCAATACTGGATCAATACAGAGTATATTTTTTATAAGAAATCCTTAAATTAGTTTTTAAATGAATTGTCAGCAAGATATTTTCTAAGTGGGCCAGGATGTTCTGTAGCGGAC